AGGTTTATTTAATAACAATACCTTTTTTAAAGCACTTTTTGATAGATAAGAGGTGGTATTAGCTAAAATAGGGGATATTGGTGAAACTGGTAATACTGGTAATACTGGTAAAATTAATGATACTGGTGAAACTAGTAAAACTGGTGATATTGGTAATACCGGTGATACTGGTAATACTGGTGATACCACTAATACTGGTAATACTGGTAATACTGGTAAAACTGGTGATACTGGTAATACTAATGATACCAGTAAAACTGGTAATACTGATGATACCGATGATACTAGTGAAACTGGTAATACTGGTGATATCGGTAAAACTGGTGATACTGGTGATACTGGTGATACTGGTAAAACTGGTGATACTGGTGATACTGGTGATACTGGTGAAACTGGTGAAACTGGTGATACTGGTAAAACTGGTGATACTGGTGATATCAATTTTAATTTTTAAAAAGACTATTTGGATAGTAAATCTAATAAAATTTTAACTTTGATTTAAATAATTTTTTAAAGGAATTTGCAAATAAGGGTCTGGAAAGTAAAAATAATTACAAATACAAGCCCAAATTAAAAATCATTATATACAAGGGCCTGATTTTTAAATACTGTATATTACATAAGGGCCCAAATCTATTGATAACTGAAAAAATGTGATCACGGAATTACTGTGCCACAAGTACTATTACAATTTGACTTATAACAATTGCAAAATCACAATTATAGAATTATCAATTTTTTATTATAAGCATTTAGATTTATCTATACTGATTATTAGATAAAAGAATAAATGATGTGCTAGTTATAATTATTTTGCTTAAATATGGTATAAAAAATAGCATTAAACTAGCACAATTATTTATAAAGCAAAGAGGTTTTAACAGAGTAGCTCTCTAGAGCTGGACAAATATCTTCCATATTGTAAATGTCATGCCAATTTGCGGTGCTTTACTTGACATCATAGTGGTTTGTTATAATAAGCAATTTTATACAAAGAAATGAAATTTATTAATTTAAAAAAATTCTTTTCTCATTTATAATTACTAATTTACGATTGATAGTATAATTATCAATATTTACATTTTTTATATATGATAATAACGATCAAGCCACAGGCTTTAATAACGTCACAGTTATTTTGGGCTTTTATATGTAATATTTTTTAAAAATTAGACACTCATAAGTAATTATTTTTAATTTGGGCCTGTATTTGTAATTATTTTCACTTTTCAGGCCCTTATTTGTAAATTCCCTAATTTTTTAATTTAAGTATATATCTTATTTCTCAGGAAACTGCACTTTGGTACTTTAATAAAAAGTATTTCTTGAACGATTTTATATACAGTAGTTGTACAGTATTAGCTATACTGTGAATAAATTAAAGTAACAAAGCAATTATTACTACAAAATCAGATCAGATATTGTATAAGTAGTAATAAAAATATATATTTTGACTAAGACTTAAGTCACAAGAATATTGTGAGATTAAGCAGATGGCTAAGGCTTAGTAATTTCGAAGAATTAAAATTTGTTCGATTTATTATATTTGTTTATTTTCATATCTATAGGTTTCTTTTATTTGTTTATTATATATCATACTGAGGAAGAGGCGAAGGTACTAGAGATATAGTTGTAGACAAAATGCTTAGACAAATGTCTGAGAGAGAAATAAGTTGGTATAGAAATAGCTAGACGTAGTTAAAAGGAATCCAAAAGGGTTAGAAATGTTATAGGAATGGTGTTGTTATAGAACAGTTTATTATTTTATTAGTTTATTATTCTGATATTGTATTTTATTATTTATTTTATTATTAT